TACCATTATAGTAAACCGTAAAAAGTCACGTACGAAGCGCGTTTCATTTATGAATTTTTAAAGTTTGAAATATTTGAAAAGATCGTTCAAAATATCCATATATGCAATAACAAATCGTTTTTAATACATATTTGATAGATAAATTGTTTTGTATAATATGTAGCATTGTAGTTGACGCAAGTAGAACACATTTAAATAAAACCACTACATACATTTACATTTTGAAAACACAAAAATGATAATATTATCATGTATATACTGCACTAGTTGTGACAGCGACTTCGTCCGCGTAAAATTGTTATTTGGGCATCAAATTTTGTTTTTACAAAACTCCTCTCGTCGTTCTTGTTAATTTCAAAAGATAAACATTCAGTGTCGCGGATATTTTTTTATACTGCTTAAATAATCATTCTTACATACATATTTTTTGGGTATCTTGAACCGTTTCCCGCTTTCTCCACTTTTTCCGTTGTTTCTGCGCTCCTATTAGTTGCAGTGATGTTTTATAACCTATATTTCCCGATAAGTGCTCTAATCAACACGAAAATAATTTTTCACTTCCAACTAGTAGTTCCAACGAGTAGCGCGTTCAAACAAACAAACTGTTTAGCTTTATATATTAGTATGGATATATATCTTATATCGTGATCAATTATCGTTATAAAGTCAGTCTATCCTTATTCTTTTGCGAATATCCAGTGTTCGTTGAAATAGAAAATATAAAAATATTTTACTTAAGTGCTTTTTATTGTTCTAGCTCGCGGCGTCTCTATCTGAGTTTTCTAAATTGAAATGCCTTATACGTTTTCTTACTATAGAATTGTGAAGGAAATGCTTATGAAAGACTAACATTCTTTTTTTGAATTATTTGACAATCTTCAAATTACCGCCAAAATGCCATAGGCCATTTATGACAGAATACAGATTAAACAAAGTGCCAGTTACTACAGATTATACATGTTTATGTTCTACATATAAGGAATTGATAATGATTATTTGCCACAGATCAATCAAATCATGTGCTATTTATTTTTAATCTGTTTCAATAGGATCTTGTAACAATTTGCACGTTTTGAGTAGAGGATAGATTCATACATATTAAATATAACATAAAAAATCGTGTTATTAAGAAGAGGCAAGAAAGGGAATATAGACAAGCATGAGGTTTACCGTTCATGGTGGTAGTTGGAATATCTGAGCCAAATAACACCTTAACCAGATGCGCTATCGACCTATTTATGAATCTAGATATTCGGATTCCACAGATTGAAAGTGAAACGCTATTAAACTTCACGATTTTTTCATCTGTAACGGTCGCTCGTAGGATGAAATTCTTATATTGCTTTCACCCATTTAATTAAAAGATTTCCAGACGAAGGCTAATATGTTTCAGACAAATAATAAATCCCACCGACCCAGATTGAACCCACGACCCGTTAATTTTTAGCCATACATTGCTACCTTTACCTTCACGAGCCCGTCAGTGTTTGTATTTCGGATTTACTTTTCAGTATTTAGTAAGTTTTTTTATATACAGAGGCATTTTCAAACTTAATTCCCCTTTAGTAATCTTCATATTATAGTTTATCTGTTACGCGATAATATGTGTATTATAAATCCTTTATAGCTTTTGGGAACTTAACATATGTATTCATGATAGTACATTACTCAATGTTGCATAACATATTGATATTATTTATTTTTGTCACATTAAATACGTGTGAATAGATATATCGAAAAGTGAGGCCAACATTTTTCTAATAAATTTCTAATTTTTCTGAAGCATGTTGGACATGGGTGGTAGGAAATTCCATACGGGTCACGAACTAGACAAGTCGTAAAATAGGGTTCAAAAAAAGTTAAAAAAAAAAAACCTACCTACCTACTGCAGCTTCATCGTCTAATGGTAATAAACTCGACTGATGATCAAAATATTTTGAATAAGTAGTACGATATTTAGTGTTTTTCTTATATTCTTTATAGCTTATAGCCTAAGTGTTCGATTGGTATTGGTTATAATCACTAGCTAACATTCGATAATTGTTATAGCCCAGTAATCCAGACTGGGACACGCTGGTGGATTAAAAGCCATATTTAAATAAAACACTTTAACGGTTTAAAACGCGATATATTAGTTAAACTTATTTGAAAATGATTTTTAACTTCGGCTCGACGTTTCGGATGCTTTGCAGCAGCCGTGGTCAAGGGAGGGGACGGCTGCTATTTTAACGTTAGATCGTGAGTTTTGGATGTTTTGGCGCGTGGGAGGGGGAGGTAAAGATGTAGGATATCGCGTTTAAAACCGTTAAAGTGTTTTATTTAAATGTGTACTACTCGCGTAAACTATAGACAGTATTTGAAAGCCATAGATAAAAAAAATGAAAATTGACAATTTTGAGAGAGAGAGGGAGATCTAGAAGTATGATAATACATTAAAACAACAATTCGAATAGCTTTCAAATAATAAACAGTTATTAGTAGTTGTTTCGTGTATAACGGGTAGGAAATACAAACTAATCCACGAAGCTCCCGGCTTTAGCATTAAAATGTTCATCCATAAGTTACCTCACGGCTTCAACCACAAAGCCTCGACGAATTGCAAGTTGAAATGTGTTGAGTTAAAGTCTGCGAAATAGTTTTGGATTCGGTCACATTTGGCAGAAAGTTACATATGACTTTGTTCAAAATTATCTTCATTAAGCTTCGTGATGAATCAATTTAGTAGTTCGTAGAAAATTATTTGACAGTTTCAGTCAAACGTTATTATGTAGTACTTTACTTTTAATATAGAATAAAAATTTAATTGAACACTTAACTGTTTCAAACGCGAAATATAATACTTACTTATTTTAATATATTTTAACTACGGCACGATGTGTTTGTTGCTTGTGGTAAGCCCTTGTGGTCACGGGGATTTACCTAATATATTTCGTGTTTAAAACCATTAAAAGTGCTTTATTTAAATAGGAATTACCAATCAGTAAAAACTTATAACACTGTGTAAAATTTGCGACAAAGAGCAAGCATTTTACGATAAAGTTGTTGGAAAATTGTGCGTGGATTTTAGATTTTTTTAAATTTATTTTAGCCCGTTGTCACGGGTTTACTAATAATAATCTACAGTCGTTTAAAAACTAGATACATTTAACTAGATAAATTTAAACTCTAAAACTTAAAGAAAAGCTTTGTATAAATAAAATATCTTTATAAAAATAATATCAATAAAATGTTCACTGTCGCGATTGCTTCAGTTACTTATAAGTGCGGAGCGAAGATATTTTCCTTTTATTTCAGTAGAACTTTCAACAATAGCGATGTTACGTAAACAAGAGCTGGATTCCCAGCACGTCGAAGGCTGATGAAAACAAACGATTCAGATTTCAATGGAAGCCACGCGACCGCAGCTGTGGAGTCGCGACTATAATTAATTAAACCACTAATCGTTAACTTGTGTAAGAGGAGTTCAACTATTAGTTTAACTACTTAAGCATACATAAAGTATAATATATAAAATTCAAAACCGCTATTACTACAGATGGCGCTAGCGTAGCAGTTTTGATTTTGACATTAGGGACACTTTCAATTGCCCCGTGACACGTCTGCTGCAAAGTATCACAAACATCATCCCACAGTTAAAAATAAGTTGTTGTAGGTATTAACAAATATATTTCGCGTTTTAAATCGTTAAGCGCTTTATAGAAGTGGATTTTAATTATCCGAATAAAAGTATAATCTCCCAAAAACTATTTTAAACCATCGACAACGCGTAAGCCTTTTAAAATGCTCTTTCGTTTGATAGGCTTCTTTTAGGTGTAAGTCATAAATAAATTCGGTGAAGGAAATGTGTGTTGAGTTTATTTGAGATCTGCTACTTATCTATTCTAATATATAAATGGTTTGTTTGTTAGAACGCGCTAATCTCAGGAACTAATGGTATCGATTTGAAGGCTATATGCTGTAAAACATTGCGCTGTGACTAATAAGAGCGGAAAAATTTAATACCCAAAATAACTATTCTATGCGAACGAAGTCGCTGACACAACTAGTCTGCCATAAATGTAACTTTTTACTCATTTTGAAGATCAATGAACGTAACTTTTATAAAACTTTATACGAAAAAGTATGTAATAACACACATTAAAAAATACAACATCTTGGTTACGATAAAATTCATTGTCAATAAAAATTCGTTATATATATGTAGTGGCGTAATGAAAAAAGGTGAAGGGCTAAAAAGCACAACAAATTGTTCAGACGAATATTACTTATACTAATATTATAAACTACTGGGTCAAATTGTTTTTTTCTGTCTTTAAAAAACTATTTATCATTGCTTTAGGCTATATAACATCACGCTGCTACCAATAGGAGCGAAGAATTAGTAGCAATATAGGCTTCCGTTGCGTGCCCTGCGGAAACGGTTCCTGGAACCAAAAATATATATTATATATAAGACCTTTTTAAATGGCCTTAAATACATCCGCAATAGTATGTCTATCTTTTAAGATTAACTCACAAGAAATTAGTGCATACCTGCACTAATATTAGCAATTATTTGAGTTGTATTAACATAATAATATCTACTAGCAAACAACAAAACGTTTGCCGGACCAGCTCCTAACATAATAATTTGTAAAGAATAAAATACCTTTAACTTTTAAAACACTTTAACGGTTTAAAACGCGATATATTGAGACTACCTGTCTCCCCGCGACCACGGCTGCTGCAAAGCATCCGAAACGTCGGACCGAAGTTAAAAATCATTTTCAAATAAGTTTAACTAATATATCGTGTTTCAAACCGTTAAAGTGTTTCATTTAAATGTGTACTACTCGCGTAAAGTATAGACGGTATTTATCTTTAACTTTATTAAACGCAACACTAAACTTTACATACCTTGTTTCAGAATCTTAACCATGGACGTTATCCAATAACTTAAGGAACCCAGCGATCAAGTTACAGAGCTCGAGTTGACCAATGTTAGGGACAAGCGTCACACGATGCTAGCAGACGATGACCCTCGAAGCAAATACAATTTGAGCATTAGCTCTAACGACACCTATAGCTTACTGGAACACACGAAACTAATATCATTACTCAAACACAATGGAACTAATCAGAGCGACAATATCGGAGAGTTCCTGAGAGCATTGGAGAATTTGAGGAGCAAATTCAATATATCCGTTGTGAAGGAGTGCGATAGGTCGCACTACTGCTCCGGCGAGTTCCGAGATTTGATACTCGCTTATAACAGTATACATGGATACGTTAGTCTATTGGTAAGTTCATGTTTTCGTATTAAGCACGTAAACGTCTTTGGTAAGTATTAGGGACACGGTAGGTGATTTGAAATGTCTAATAAAACATCTGTGACATTTGATTCGACTTTTCCCAAGTCTCGAACGCAGGATTTCTCGCGCCTAACGCAATGCTAGGCTATGCAGGGAATATAAAATAAAAATTTTGGTTTATAAAAAACTTTTCATAAATACTTGATTAATTAATTTGTAAGTATGTACAATATCCAAGCATTTAAACGGTTTTAAATGCGGACTATTTAATACATTTTTAATTTTAAGCCTTTTTTTAGGATGATTTAAAGCAGCTGAGTTTAGTAAAGACATATAAAAATGATTTCAAAAAATTTTTATTTTTATGGTCGAAGAGGAGTTATATATATATATAAATAGTAAAACCTTTAAAATTCATTTCATCACAGTCGATAAATTAAAGTTATAAAGTGATAATACCGTATATTCATGCCACAGTTAACGGAACTGAACAATTTCAGTAAATGTTTCAGTCAATCGGAATATGAGGGTAGGAATCAAATGCCAGTTATTCAGTTCAGTCGAAGTTATAAGCTGGGGGTTACAAATATGTAATAATATTCGTATCTGTTCGTTGGAATTCCTTTATTTTCATGATCTTGGTAAGGGGACTAACAAATAACTAGAAGCTTTGCCTTTTATTGAATTCAGATGATGTTTAGGTAAAGAGGGTGATACCAGAAATCCCGAATTTGAGAACCTTATTTATGCAAAAAAACATCAAAATGAAATCCTTGAAATATGTTCGGAAATAAATGAAAATTTAATTTATTTCTGCGTTTCCGTTCTTTTTTATAGTGTTAGTACGTATGTCTACGTTAAAATAACTTTTTATCGAAAAAAAGAAAGATAAATCAAATTAAAAAAGCGGGTGCTTCTGCTGTATTAGCGTATGACGTTACATTCCGCAGTTTATGCCAGTAGTACACATTTCAATAAAACACGTTTAACGGTTTAAAACACAAAACAAATAAATTATTTTAAATGAAAAATAGACTGCCTCTGTCGCTAAATGGTTAAACGTATTGCCTAGCATTGACTTTAGCGCGAGAGGTCTTGGGTTCAAATCCCGGGGAAACAGTAAATTGGCTGGTCGGGCAGGGCATAGATGTCTGATCAACAACTTGCCTGTAAATAAACCCGATCAGTGCAACGGATACAGGAATGTGTTCGCCCCATGCCCCACGAGGGAACGAGATTTCACTTTTTTTTTTAAAGAAAAATAATGTAATTAATATATTTTGCCTTTCAAACATTTAAATGTTGTTTTTAAATAGACTCGAGAAAGTGTTTATAAAGACTAACTTATTAGACTTTATAAATTGCAGAGAGCAAAGTATTCGTAACGGGATTCCGTTTATTTTGGTAAAAACATTTCATACCCGATTAAAACATTATTAAGGCTCTTATAAAAAACACTGCAGTCATTTTCGCCTGTGTAATTTGCGTCAAACCATACAATTAAACATAGAGCATAAATCAAAACCACAGATAACATAATAAGTAGTCATGCAAGAACCACAGAGCACGCAAAGCATAGAAATAAATTAGCACAGATTACACACAAGACATACTGTCACCAAAGAAATAAGTTATTACTACTAAAAAAGGTTTTTGTCTATACCAATGACTCAAATAAGGGTATACTGAGCTTTATGTATATTAAAACGATGTCTTTGTTGAAAATGAACTGGATAGAAAACAGTTTCCAATTTAAATGTATTCGCGCTGGGATTTCATGTTTATATTAAGTAGATGAGTTGGAGACAGCGATTGTTCTGTTTCTGGATATACATATATTGTTTTTAGATTTTCTCGTAATAAAGACTTTGACTTAAGTAATTTACATCTATACACATAAATAAAATTGGAGTGTCTATTTGAAACATTAAGATCACCGCTTTTTATTAAATGCATATGGATGTAACACGGTACACCTACCAAAACAACATGATGAAAAATATGTCTGTCTCTCTGTTTGTTCCCGCTAATCTCAGAAACGGCTAGACCGATTTTCACGGAACTTACACTGACAGATAGCTGATGTAATAGTAATAAAGGAGTGCCAAGTGCGAGTCGGACTCGCGCACGAAGTATTCTCTGAAACGGCTAGAGAAAGTATATCCATTTCTTTTTAAATAATCTAAAAAAACGTCCGCGACACTATCTTATATCTATATTTTACATTTCATTTACACGAACGACGGGGCGCGGACGAAATCGCTGGCACAGCTAGTATTGATATAGATGTCTTGAAAAGAACAGATAGTTGAAACCATCATCATCACTTGATGACGTTGATGTGATGGTGGCAATGTTTGTAATCAACGGGTTCAGGGTCCCTCACTCCCCACCAACACGTTTCTTTTAATCAATAAAAATTAATCTGTTAATCAATTTATAATTTTTCTCAACTGCATTGGATATTGGAAATCGGGAGATATTGAATCGATTCGAATCCGTCTGGGGCACGATTCACCGTCCATAGATGAAAAAGACGTGAAGTTCAATGTTTCAGTTTCAGCCTCTGGATTTCCGAATATCCAAAGCCTAAATAGGTCGACAGCGAATCTTGTTTACATGTTATAGGCTGGGGTATATCACCTACCATCAAGTGTACTCCATGCTATATCCATTTTATTATCCAGGTTTCCAGACAAAATTCAGTATGTTTCAGAAAAATAAAAAATAGAAACATTTCTATAGTTTACGCGAGTAGTACACATTTAAATAAAACACTTTAACGGTTTAAAACGCGATATATTTTTAATTTTATAGAAAATTATTTTTAACTTCGGCCCGACGTTTCGGATGCTTTCCAGCAGCCGTGGGCACGGGGAGACCCCGTTAAAAATCATTTTCAAATAAGTTCAACTAATATATCGCGTTTTAAACCGTTTAAGTGTTTTATTTAAAATAGAAACATGTTCGACCCGGTGGTGATCGTACCCACGACCCGTTGGTTATTAGGCATTGCTACCATTAAACCAACAAGCAGGTCAAAACCTCTTTTCCTGATATCTTTAATAATATATTATTATGTAATATGGAAGTATTAATTCATGCTGATTCTGCCAACAGATATGTTTATTCGGTAGCTTAGCAAATGCACTGAACGTTGCGGTATTAACAAGACGAGACCTCGCTGGTGCTCCAATAAATCGTCTCTTGAAATGGCTGGCGGTAGCTGATGTCTTCGTCATGTTAGAGTATGTCCCCTTCGCTATATACCGATATTTGGTAAGTATAGTCTGTCTGTAGTTTTAGCGAGCAGTAAATGTGTATTTAAATAAAACACTTTAACGGATTAAAACTCCGAGACGACGGTCGCTGCAAGCATCCGAAACATCGGGCCGTAGTTAAAATAATTTTCAAATAGGTTTAACTAATACATATCGCGTTTTAAATCGTTAAAGTTTTATTTAAAAGTATTGTCTGTTTTATTTAGTTCGAGTTAATCTTACTTTGCAAAGAGTATGGCTGTCAAAAATTATTATTGAAACTTTTATTAAGTTAATTAATTATTATTCTTACTATTATCATAATTACTTATTTATACAACCGTTCTATTGTTACTTGTCAATAATTCATGTAACACCAAGTAATTTTTGATATACGATTTATACTTATTTTTTGACAGTACTCTCTCTACACTATAAAAACCAGATATTAAACATAATTCATTTAAAAATCCATACCTAATAATAGTTAATAATTACGTTACTTTTATGCTAAGTTAATTCTAAATAAGCGAAAATAAAATAAGATTAGTTACCAAGACAGTTAATTTTGTTTTTTAATTAAACTGCAAAGCGGATTAGTGATAGTTACCCGGAGATTATCACGTCAAACAATATAATCATTCATAATATACAGCAATCATTTATGCTAGTGTTAGAGAAATACTTAGATGACGTAATAATGGAGGGGATAGGAAGTAGTAGTGACAAGTGACTATACCTATAAGCGCGTGCGCGCTTCAATAGGCCGTCGTATTTTAGATTAGTTTGGTGTTCAATTGAACTCTGTCTTTTCCTCAAATAATTCATTGTTGTGTTATTTAGTAATTAGAATGGTTATTTAGATTTTTGTGATTTAATTTAATTTTGAAATTAACCGCTTTTTAATTATTGTTTTTTTTTTAAATTATATTTAACTCTTGGTGTTTAAAGATAGAGTATTATATAGATTATAGTTTTCAAGGAGTTATATTTTATTCTAGTTTAGGTTATCTATAACACAAACACAAATGTAACTCCTTGAAAATTAAAATACCACAAGGAATACAACGTAATAAAGTTAGGTCCATAAAAATGTACTCGCTTTTTAGTACCGCGCGTACATAGTTGCTTCAATTGTGAACTACTTTTAAATAGATTATTATAGTGGAATAGTTTCCCAACCTGAGGTGGAAGTCAAACGCCAAAGGAGTCAAATAGGAGTTTCATTTCGAGTTCTGACACTATCTTATAGCATGAAGTATCAAGCTATTCGCTATAATCGCTCGTGTAAATGCATTATACGCTACAAATATTCTAAAAACCTGTCGGAAATTCAGAGTTAGTGTTAAAATCTTGGCGACATATGGAAAAATAATATACATTTTACATATATTTGCCACATCAAACATTTATTGCATTTAAATTGCTTGTCTTAAACAAAGTATGCTCGTTATCAAATAACAAAGTATAACCGAGTTATTCGACCGAGTACGAATATCAAAAAGTATAAGAGTATTAATAGAGTACTCGGTCCATCTCTAGTAATAAATTAAAAAATAAAAATAAAATTTGTTACTTACTTGAGGTATAAAATAGCCTACTTTAAAGAACGAAAATTTAAGCTTTAAATGAAGACATTCGTTTATTTAAATTTCGTTTAAGCTGCTGATTTACTAACGGAATATTCATTTCCAGCTGTTCCCAGGTCAAGAGGACCGTCCATACTCCTGGGCTGTGTATATGCTGTTTCACATGCATTTTACGCAAATATTACATACAGCTTCTATATTATTGACACTTTCACTGGCCATCTGGCGATATATAGCCATAAAGTAAGTACATTTATTTATATACAAGCAAGTATAGTTGATTTATTGTGAACGGGATATATAACAATAGTTTAAAAGTTGTGTAATGTTTATAAAACCTCGTTTACCTTTTAGAGGCATACAAACCAAAATTATCCGTAGCTCGCAAGTATAGTACATATTTAAATAAAACACTTTTAACGGTTTGAAATGCGAGTTATATAAGATCACATTTATATTTTTATTTTACTAATTTTCTGAGATAACTCTAAAATTGTATCAATACAATTTTAAGTAATTAAGTGTTTTCTGTCACTTAATAAATAAAAAATAGTACGTTACTGTAGCTGCCGGCGAACTAGGCTAATATCAATAATTATTTACGCGCCAAAGTTTTCTTTTTTCACCAAACAGCTATCTACGTGCAAGCCAGTTCGAAATTTAAATTAAGCCTTTGATAACTAACCTCTTTGGTGCGGAGAAGAAAATCGTTCCATTTTAAATTACACGACAGATATGAATTTTCACACAACTTGCCGGCCGCTGATCGACCAGTACAGCAAGTTCGTTTTATCTCGAGTATGGTTAAGGGGGAAAAGGGGCCGGGGGGGGGGGGGGGGGGGGGGGGGGGGGGGGGGGGGGGGGAAAAAGGGGGACTGGAGAAAATAACACAGTAATTCATAAGGAAATTCCCGTTCGTTGAACGTTCATAATAATTAGGGCGTTTGTTTCGCGTCCTCCACACTTAAATATGCAATACGCGTTCTTAGTGCATTGAAGGGTTAATTATGCTGATTAATTTTGAACAACAACGGAGCTTGTTTGAAATATTGAATGGCGGATGTGAAACATAAACAATTTAATTAGTTTAACACAGTATACTCAACCGTGACATTGTTATGCCAAAATACCACGATAAAAATTTTAAATAGGAAATTACGGTAACAGCCGTTTTCCTAAGGGGAAAATGGTCACGGTTTGTCTGTTTTTCTCATTTTTATTACACCGAAAAAGGATATACATATTACTCCCCAGGATTCGAACCCAACATCTTTCGAATAATTGAGCAAAACAGGCTACACGTTATAAGTCGTAAAATACTAGCTTTGCATCAGCTTAATTAGTTAAAGCAGCAGGACATAACGCTGTTGACGTCTTTCTTAACGGTTTAAAACGCAAAATGTTTTAGTTCAGATTTTACTTTTCTCGTAAACTACAGACGAAACTTTAAATATATTGAGTATATATTTAGGTTAAACGTCGTGCTAATCGTTAGTAATACTACCAATAGATTTTAAAAATATACCTTCAAGAGCTGTTCGTAATATTTCAGATATCCGTCCTATGGGCCATCCTTATGCACCGATCGAAGATGCTCCATAGCCATTGCGATTAGCTTTCTTCTACCTCCAATTCTCTGCATTCCATCCTATTTCGTAAGTATTCTTTATTTATAAGATTCGTCAAGGGATGCTATACCCAAAAAAAAAGAAACTTACGTCTTTTGGAAATATACAACCACGCTATTACTGATCCTTGATTACTCAATGAACAAACTGCGATTGTAAAAAAAGTCACCAGTAAAACGGTCCCAGAAAAGTGTTCGCCCCATGTCACCATGGCGACGGGACCAATTATTTAATTCAATTGCTCATAATACTTTTATATTAATTAAATGTTGCGGTTAAAAAACTATATGAAATCATCCGATCAGTTCTGTACCTTACCCGGTCGAAATAATCTATTGTTTCCCTGGGCTTCAAACCCAGGAACTTTATGGGCTTTTAACTTTTAAATAAAGGTTTTTTTTCTACACTGTTTTGGTCGAAAAGTCAATGCGATTTTACTTTTTTATATAAACTTTCGACAAAAGTAAATTTCCGCGGTTGAGCTAAGAATGGTGCGGCATAATACAATTATCGGATGTTGGTTTGTCGGTCAAGGTCAAACACACCTTAAATGAATCGATTGTGTTGTAGCCACTTTAATAGGTGCATTCGCATTTTAAGTGTATTTATTTATGCAAAGTATAATAAAAATATGTCTTTACAGATAAATGTCATTATTGAAAGCATGCATAAAATAACTAACTCAATACTTAAAAAATATTTATTAGTAAAATGACTAGAAAGGCTTTCGTTACGAACCGTAGCACATTTCGTAGACCGTAGACTGTGCTACGGTGTCTTTATACAAGACACATACCCCCACGCACACTATTAACACTATTAAATAATGTTGACGGGCCCATTGGTCGAATAGTATCAATGTATGCATAAACCTCGGACTCAACGGGTCGTGGGTCGATCCCCACCTGGTCCATCGTGTTTCAAATATATTTATAATGTTTCACATGTGTAACATGTGTAACAGGTTGTGAGAATATTAAAATTTCGCCTGGGTCATGAACCGCCGTCTATAGTAAAGAAATCGTGAAGTTTAATCGCGTTTTCGTTTCAGTCTGTGGATTTTCGAAAGTTTAGAGGAGTATTTCACTTTTGAAGCAAATCCCGTGATTATAATACAGGTCAAGCTATCATAGAATAAATATGTTTTGTGAACTACGCTTTGCATCAAATTTATTTGGCGGTTTATCAAAATACACTGCCTAGTCGTAAATTGTGGTCAGATCTTGAGGATATATTATACATTATATATATTAAACAGCTACTCGTAATAATGATAAACGAAAATAACGCTTGTAGTGTGCTACAAGCGTTATTTTCGTTTATCATCAGATATCAGATACTATATGTTTCAATTTTTGTAACACTTAGCACAGCTAAATAAGTATTCGTCGGTTCGTTTATCATTTATTTCAGCATGATTATAGACCATTTTTATATAAATGCGCTTGACCTGATTATTATTGGGAATACTAAAATTCCAACACGAACCTAAAATTTTGCTTAGTCTGTAGATTTCTGAAAGCCTAAACGCAGAACTATGAATTAAACAGCATATAATAATAAAAAAAATCAATAACATAACATATCATGTTCGAAAGACTCCATCCTTTACCTTTCATCAAGTGAACGAAGTTCTGTGTCTCAAAACACACTTCTTGTTCTAGGTGTTCACCATCCATCAAGACTACGCAATAGATCATCGGCCGTCGAAAGTTTTCTTCGTCGACTCCAATTACGACGGTCGCCTTTACCAAACCAACTTTTGGGTACACGCTGTAGTTATCAAACTTCTACCATGCGTCATCCTGACGGTCATAAGTGCTTGGCTCATCCGGGTTCTGTACAGAGCGAATAGTAGAAAGAGAGCTCTGAAAGGTTACAATGCCTGTCCAGCACCAACGGTTGTCAATGGCAACGGGAATATCTTCACGAGAAAGTCGACGAAGCGGTCGAAAGCTGAGCGACGGACAGACAGAACGACGAAGATGCTCGTCGCTGTGCTCCTATTGTTTTTGCTGACTGAGTTTCCGCAAGGAATTCTAGGTGAGGATTGTTTGAGTGTTCTCAGCTTCGATTTCGCGAAGAAAGCTTTCGAAGTATTCGGAGTACGGTTGCTCATTAGGGTTTTATTAAATTCTGTTCCGTTGTCAAGTTGGAAACTTTGAAATATACTTTAATTCTTGTATATTGCAGATGATCAAAAAAGTAAAAAACTGTTTAATTATTTAAACAAAATACTTTAACGGTTTAAAACGCGATATATTTTAGTTAATATTGTTTGAAAATTATTTTTAACTACGGTCCGACGTTTCGGATGCTATGACTGCTGCATAGCATCCGAAACGTCCGTGGTCACGGGAAGAACAAGTTTAACTAAAATATATGGCGTTTTAAACTGTTAAAGTGTTTATTTAACAGTGTACTACTTGCGTAAACTACAGACAGTATTTGAAGCTAATTAAATAGCTTGAAAACATTTTTTTTTTTACATGATAGCATCCTATAAATTTAAAATCAATTTTAGCGGCATTCACTGCATTCCGTGGCCTTGCTCTAAAATAAATAAATTCAAGTTTCATGTAGTTTTAATTGTTAGTAATTTGAAGTTAGAATTTCGATGACAGCAGACATATCTAAACAAAGGAGGTTTTAATAATTTAAAACGCGAAGTGTATGAGTTGCCATGACAACCATCACCATGCACCACTGCTGCCACGCATCCGAAACATCGTTAATTTAAATTGATAAATAACTTAACCAATATATTATACTTTGTACCAGACTGCGAAATTTTTATTTTAAAGGTGTACTACTCGCGTAAACTACAGACAATACTATAAAGACATGTCTTTAGGTTACGCGAGTAGTACACATTTAAATAAATCACTTCAACTTATTTGAAAATTATTTTTATACAGCCCGACGTTGTGCAGCAGCCGTGGTCATGGGGTGACACGAAACTTTCGGGCATAGTTAAAATAATTTTCAGATAAGTTTGACTAATATCTATCGCGTTTTAAACCATTTAAGTTTGTTTAAAAGACGTGTCATTTGATAAAAGTCTAAAAGAGATATATGTTTCAGGTCTCATGAGTGGTACACTAGGACGTTGTTTCTTCAAACAGTGTTACGATCTTTTCGGCGAACTTATGGACGCTTTGGCTCTATTGAACGGAGCCATCAACTTCATACTTTACTGCTCCATGTCCAAACAGTTCAGGACGACGTTCAGGCAAATAATAAGGGCCCGCTGCACACCAACGCCGAGGGCTTCCAACTCGCACACCGAACTGCAGACTACTTATGTGTGAATGTCGTATAGATTTGTGTACAAAGATAGCTTAAAATATATGATATAAGTAAATTGATGGTGATGTTATAACTTGGACGGTTGGTGAAATAATGTGTATTATATAGATTTTATTGTAACAGGTTAACAAAAGGGAAGAAAAACTTCTATTAGCCAAACTTAAAATCTAGCTATGATTGCGCTAAACAAAGGTTTCCTAGTTCATTTTACATCAACTACGCAGCGGTATTTATTATTTCAAATAAAACATTTTCAACGCTTTAAAACGTGAACTGTATTATTTATTTTAATTACGTTGACACGCCGTGTCCTTGTTAATTTAACATAAGTTTACTTACATATTTCCCGTTTGGAACCATTGAAAGTGTTTTACTTAAATTTGTACTTTTGTAAACTACATACAGTACTTGGGTATTCATTATCTGTGGTTGATATAGTTGAATGCGCTTGTTTGTCTGTCTTTTGTTTTAATTGCAACAGATAAACATGATTTCAGCATACTTTTAAATCTTTAATTTAGATACTTTGGAGTGACAATTGCGAAACATAAACTACCCTCTATATATTTTTTTAGCAAAAATATGAATTAAATAGATGAATATATATTCTAGAAAATGATATATATAAAATAGATGTAAAGAAAATGTCTGATACTCGCTAATATTAGAATGGAAACAGCTAATTTAAATTTGACTACATGACCCGAACCAAATTTGGACATTCCTCTCGACCATTTTCAACCCAGAGTTTTCCATTAAACATATTTTAGAAGAAATACACAATGCTTACAAATTATTTTAAGTGATCGCTTGATTATTAACTACACAATGTTGCTCTAGAGTAAGTCGTAAGTGTGAAATCCCGTTTCCCCTCGTGGGGCATATTGCGAACACATTTATATGTCCGTTTCACTGATCGGTTCTATTTACAGGCAAGTAGGTGATCAGACTTCAGTGCCCTATCCGACCGAAACATTTTACTTGTTGAGGACACAGTAGCTAGTTCAAGTCTCGTGTCACAAACCTAACTAGATTTTTGATTTATTTAACAACGGTTTGTTAGCTGTGACTAGAAGTATATTCTTTATCGTGCCAAGTGTCAGAACATTGAAAGGCAAAAAGATCGTATGTGCGGTACAACGCGTTGACAAGAAATAAAATGAACTTTGCATATCATTGTTTTTCGGGCTGTTCGGCCTACGTGTGCGAAAACGGGTTCTCGACGTTTCACCATCACGAACGGGCAGCATCATTAGAAGAAGAAGAAGAAGAGTTAGCTCTTAGTTCCTTCGAAGAATTAATAATTCTTACAGCTCGGAAAAATTATATGCTGAACGATGGCCGTGAAAGCCTTACACAATTTATATTGAACTCTGAACAAATGTACCTAATATTATGCCTAAAAACAAGAAACGGTCTAATTCTGCCATATTGACGCGCTCGTTTGGTCGAATGGTAGCGATGTATGGCTAATTATTAACGGGTCGTGGTTTCGATCCCCACTGGGTCCAAAGGTTTGTAATATATTTTATAACATATTTGCTCGTACAGTGGTTGTAATTACACCAATTTCAATATCGTAATGTATCTCATTACGTACTTGTGCGATAATGTAATGTAAAATGCACGTGTTTTTTTTATAAACTTTTAAGATACTCCGTCTTAAAATAAACGATACTTGAAAAAATCTTAGCAAAGAGGTTTTATGTCAAGAAAATGGTCAATATTTTATGAATAAAATTAACTTTGGGAAATAAAATATAACAAATAATCATTTAATTCTTTAATTTAATTAATTTTGACAATAAATTACAACCATTTATCTATAACAAAAACACAAAAATATTAATTTACTTTATTAGTAATACTGGCTGTTTTTGTACCTTTGCCTAAAAAACAAACGTTGATGCGCGCGCATCGCTTATTTGTGGACAAGTAAAAATAATTCCGCGCTTTTTTTTTCGCTGTATTGTTTTTATTTGAAAATGTCGTCAAGTAGTGATGTAATTATTAATTTCCTCGTAAATATGTTATTAAAACGTCGTATGACATACGTGCGCTTTGAACATTACAGCCTCTGCTTTCTTATAGCTATATAGTAATATCGCCTCGGCTGTAATTTTCAACTTACCGCACTTATATCATAATGTACTATTGATTTATAATTTTTCTGAAATATGATTGACTTCATCTGGAAATCTGATTATTAAATGGGTCGTAGGAAAATCGAAATTCCGTCCGGGTCACGACCACCGTCCACAGATGAAAAAGCCGTGAAGTTGAGTCGCGTTTAGGCCTGTGGAGTTCCGAATATCTAAAGCCAAAATAGGTCGATAACGCATTTTGTAGATTTCATATTTCTAGGGTGTTTCATATCCCATAAATCAAAATCGTAAAATCGTAATCTAAACTTAACCATTAGTTACAAAATGAATCTCCCAGTTGCTTCAAATGTGACCCATGTTCCAACAGTAATTCAAGACGTAAGCTTCGACAACGAATTTCTAAGTTAAAATATTCTTTACGGGGTCATAGATAAACTATATTGCGGGTTCTGTATGCGGATGGTCCTCGCAAAATTAGCATTCCGCAGACTCGACAACACTGTATTTTGTGGAGACATTTATTATGCAGATTCTTCCTTTGTTTGGTAAATAAAAGCGTTTGGTTTTGCAAATATACAAACGTTGGACTAGCATTTACGAATAATTATTCTTGTTTCGGTAGATACTAATATAATTATTTATTAGTAGCTGATGCAGCGACTTCGTCAATACTACCTTCGACCATAATGTAAAGTAAAATATTGTCTCACGTTTTGTTCCAAATGTTGCAAAAGCCTGATCGATGTATCTAAAAAATCATATAAGTTCGGGTGTCCATGACAACGATATTATCTAAATAGTGAGGAATGACTATAACGTACATAAATAAAACATTTAAATAAAACACTTTAACGGTTTAAAACGCGATATATTAGTTAAACTTATATGCAATTTATTTTTTACGGTAGCTCGACGTTCTCTGCAGCGATCATGGTCACGGGGTTCGTGTTTTAAGTTTAAAAGTGTTTTATTTAAATTATAACTAGAATATATAATCTGAACATAATATTGAAGAAATTCGTTCTTATAATTAGATGTTTATAAATATTTAATTTTATTTTATGTAGTGTTAAAAAAAAGTAAAAGGCTTTCACGTGTTTAGGCGTTGTAGTTACTAAATCTATTAATGATTTATATAAATTAAGCTTAATAAATGCTTGATAAGTATTTTTGTGTAAATATTAAATTTATTGTAAAAGTTTATATGTAAATAATTAAATAATACGACTAAAGCGAAAAAAAACTATGTTTAAATGTTATTGTATTTTTAAATAAATTGATCTATATATTGATGTTTTTAATTAAAAATGTGTGTGAAACGAACGACCGATGTAATGACTTGACGATAGGCGCCGTAACGCGTTACGCAACGCAGCCATGCGAAATAGTCTATTTAATTTGAACATTGCATATAAACCATTTATATCTTTTTGTTTTTGAGCTTTATTAGTCTTTATGACAGTAGACTGCAAATAAATTTATTTAGGTTTTATGAAGAGTAAGTAATAAGAATTATTGTATATATATTATTTATATAAGTTTAAAGATCATATTAATATAAAATATTTATTATTATTAATTATTAAACGGGTGGTAGGAACATAGAAATTCTGTCCGTGTCACGAACCACAGATGAAAAAGCCGTGAAGCCTAATCGCGTTCCGAATTCAGTCTGTGGATTTCCGAATACCCAAACCCAAAACAGATCGAAATCGCATCTTGATTAGATGCTATATGCTAGGGTATATCACTTATCATCAAGTTGGCATGCATGTCTGTCTTCCCATATCATTAAAAAAACCTGCTTTACTATACTTATGACAGTTTTGAACGATAAAAAAGTTGCAATATCGGTTTATATGGTTGAATAAATAATTGCGAAATATATGCGAAGAAATAGACCTCGTTAACGGTTTAAAGTTCCTAGTAATAATTTAAGAACCCTCCAGTATTTACGTATGCACACGCGCGTATAACAACACAAATGTGACGGACACACGCGCCTATCCACTGCCCTTGCTTCTGAATTAAACGAACACACTTATCGTAAACTGTTATAAATCCGGTAAGAAACAAGACAATAGTTATGTTGATTTATGCCAGGTTTATTTGTATGTTGTATTATTTTTTATATTGTTCATTTGTATATACTGTTATTTAAAATTCTATTTTATTTTGTGTTACTTAACGCTGTGGACGCTGTGTATGCCCGTGTCGTGTTTTTTTTCAATTTTACATCGATTTTTAATTTATATAATGTCATCACGCAAAATATTAAATTATTGTATTTTTTATAAATATTGTTTTTTTTAAACAAATTGTATGTTTATCAAACGGTATAATTTTGTAAGTGTACAAAAACGTTTTATGGATTTACGCCAGCTGGTGTTTTAAGTACTGGTCAAATTTTTAGAATGCAAATAGAAAAATAAATTTTATGATAATTATTTTTGTAGTATTTGGAGGTATATAAATGTTTTTCTCAATCGAATCAAATACTTAGCTTATTGAGCGCGATTTCAACATCTATATAAATATTATAGAGCTGAAGTGTTTGTTTGTTAGTTGAACCGCTAATCTAGGAACTACGGGTTCGAATTAAAAAAAAATTGTATTGGTTGTTTCGTTTAGAAAAGGTAAGGAATGAAAGGTGTCCGTTGCGTTGTGTAAATGTATGAAATAATAATTCTCTCTAAATTATCTAATATGACTGCATAAGTAAAGTCTATTGTTTAGATTAACTTGCAAGAACACGGAGAGAGACGCCGTAGGTAATGTATAATTTGTGAAGATGAGGTTTGAAAAAACAAATGAAGCCGCGGGCACCACTAGTTTGATAAAATCTAAATGTAAGTGACATTTAGATTTTAAACTTAAGTTAGCTAGCTTAAGTTGAAATTCTAATAAGAACCATTCAGTGTTTAGTGTCAAAGTTCTTGGTGACATTTAGAATAGAAATTTAAAGGTTTAAGTAAACACAATGCATCATTAGTTTTTTATTATAGCAATTTTTTAAGCCCTTAACGCTTTCCATAAATTTTTCGATGTATTTGCCTTCAGGATCATAACGGTTGACAAAGTTGACATATTCAGTCGGGTTATTCTTCTTTAGACCGAGCATGAAAACATTGGCTAGATGTTTCACATCTGCGTTGCATCTGTAGCAGGCTGTCTCTATCGTCTCTGGAATTATCTCTGTAAGAAATCAGAAATAATTATTGCGCGAGAGTTGCATGTATCAATCGGTTGAAAAAATTCGACGATGACATATAGGACACGTTAGCTCAATTAGTAAGGGAACAGTGTCGTGAATTTCTAATAATCTAAAATCGATTTTTAAATATAATCAGTTAAATTTTATATGGACTTCGCAATAGGTATAATTTAATTAAAACACTTTAACGGGTAATGTATGGCTAATAATTATCGACGGATCGTAGATTCGATGCCCATCTCGCTAAATTTCGTCCGGCCATCATGAACCAGCATTCACAGATGAAAAAGCCGTCGAGTGTATTCGCGTCTTGGTGTTAGTCTTTGATATCCGAATTTCCAAAACTAAAATATGTCGACGGCGAACCTTGTTTGTATGTTTTATGGTGTGGAGTATAACACCCACTATGTGACTGCAATGTTGTCTGTCATCATAAAAATAGCAAAACTTACTCCTATAACTTGCTGGAACAGGATCGCAAGGTTTCCTGTCTAAGAAGCAGTCGACAAAGTCCTGCAGCTTTTTGGGGTTATCAACTACACTTTGCATATCGTAGTGATTATCAGCTGTCCTGTAGTAGTTGATCTTTTCGGCGAAGGCAACGCCAAGCACGACGAGTAAGATGAAAACCTTCATTATTATTACTGCCAAAAAAAAAAATTAATTAAAAATGATTTCGAGCTTCCTTGTCCCGGTAGGATACGGTAGCTCAATAAATGTTAGCTCAAGTTGACTAAGATCGATTTTCAACTTTTATAATGCCAACATATATGTGAAAAATATTAAAGTTTTCATATAAATTACTCTATAATATACAAAAAAAAATATATGTGCCTAAGTGGGAGTGGCGGAAGATGGGAAAAAAGATAATATAATAATATAAAAGATATATATTTAAAAACTGTAAACGACATGCTTGTTATATATGGTTTTAAGGCTTTTCAACCCTTTTTGTTGTAATCCCCTCATTTTTTTAAATTTATTACGCGGAGTTTGCCTGGAGGCGGATAAGCCCCAAAGGGGGCATAGTAAGAGTTCGAGGAGCTGACCTCGTTTTCGCCAGCAAAGGCGATTTTGCTGACAGTATAACCCGGCCACAGAACGATTCAAGTGACAGGTGGTAAAAGACGAATGGTAAAAGACAGTTGGGCAGATGGCGTATGGAACTTTAGCAATTGGATTTTCTTATATAAATAAAATTATGTAAATATAAATTTTAGGTATCCGATACCCTATTTTTTTATTTACATAAGTTGAGACCGCTTACGACCTTGAGTCCTTATTCTTTATTAGATAATGTTGAAAAAAAAACGTGTCGGTAATTAGTCTGCGAGATTTAGATAAATTCACATTTTGAACAAGTTTTTCGAGTTTCTAGATGTTTATCACCGCGACATCTGGATTTGTGTATTGCTTTGTTAAAACTATATGTCAAGAGATTTTTTTTTTTTATAAAGACTACTAGCTTGTTAGTGTAGAGGTAGAAATACATGGCTAATAATCAACGGGTCGTGGTTTTGATCCCCAACGGTCTCAACAGGTCCATTGTAAACAATTGTTATTGTTCTGAAAAATGTTGGATTTCGTCTGGAAATCTGGATATTAAATTTGTGATAGGAATATTAATCTATCGCCCTGGTCACGATCACTGTCCACAGATTAAAGAACCATGTAAGTTTATGTGCGTTACGATGTCAGTCAATACCCATAGACAAGATAAGTTGACAATGCATTTTGATTAGATGTTATATGGCTACCTACCAGCAAGTGAGCTACTTTCTAGTCTGTGTTTCTCTATCATAACAAAGCTAATTTATTCTGGTGTAAGCTGAAAGCGGTTATGTTCGAATGTTATAAATATTCAAAGGTACGAAGCAAATCAAAGAAAAAAGAAAATCGTGCCACGACTACGTGGCGGCGTAAAGGGTAAAATAAATAACTTTTCAACACGAAATCTAATTTGATTTACAGAATTTGCGAAAAATATAAGCCTTTGAACTCCGTGCTTGTCTGTCTTATAAAAAATATATATATTATATCAACATGATGTGAACTAGTAATAATACACAAAAAATATCCTTATATAACTTTCTTTTGCATTTTCTTTTGTTCCACGACTATTTATATATAATAATAATATTTATACACACGGCTTTTTAACCTGTGAGAGAGGTTCGAGAACCACCGTTCAACATTTTACAGGTATCTAAGTAAAATTATGAGACGATTACCAAACATGCTGGACGCGTTGGGAATAGAAATCCGTTGTTTATTAGTAATACATTACTAGCATTGAACCAACGAAACGAAACTTACATTTGCTTTTGTTTGAAACGCATTCAGAATAAAAAAAAACATTTTAACTGTTTAAAACGCGATATATTAGTTAAACTTACTTGAAAATGATTTTTAACTCAGGGCCGACGTTTCGGGCCGAAGTAAAAAGGAAATGGCGCGTAAATTATAGACAGTATTTAAAAAAATACTTTAACGGTTTAAAACGCGTCACTGTAAGTGGAGTTTTATTTACATGTGCACTACCCGCGTAAAGACAGACAACACTTTAAATTACATTAATTTTTAAGATTTCGTATCAAATATTATATACAATCTTAAATCGAACACACACAAGACCTTAAATAACTTTTCTAAACAAAGCGGTTCCAATTTTAAATTCGATAAAATAATCTGTTAACAATATTTTTACCTATATATCGCTACACAATCCAGACACACAGTAGTTCTACAACCAAATTCCACACTTATATACTCCCAACATCTCGAAACATAGACTAAAAAAACTGTTTCTTCCTGCTCAAACGAGAATAATCTCTTCAGCTTTACACATAAAGGTTAAAATCAAATAAATGAAAAAAGCAAAGGAGATGAAACATGATAATAAAGCATAAATAATTTAAATACTGTTTGTAATTTACGCGAGTACATTACAAACATTCTAACGGTTTAAAACGCCATATATTTTAGTTTAACTTGTTTGAAAATTATTTTTAACTGTGACCCGACGTTTCGGTTGCTTTGCGGCAGCTGTGGTCACGGTGTCTCCCCTTAAATAATCCCAATAAATAATTTATTCGAAATTAATTAATTATTAATGTTTCAGGATTTAATATTATTATATAACACTTGTTGGCTAGGCTAAGTACTAACTTGAAATGTATCAAACGGATGCCTATAACGGGTCGTGTATTCAGCTCTGGATTTTAGACTTGCTATTGAGGTGGTAGAGATATCGGAATACGCACTACCGTCTAAAAAAATATACCTAAAGCATGTTTTTGTAGTAGTATGTGTGTAGTAGGCTCATTGGTAAAAGTGTATGGATAATAATTAACGGGTCGTGGATCGATCCCTACCGATTCCAATATGTTTCTAATCGATTTTTATTTTTTCTGAAATATAACGGACTTCGCGTCTGGATATTAAATGGACGATAGGAATATCGAGATTCCGCCCGGGTCCAAGAACCATAGTCCATAAAAGAAAAACAATTTAATTCAATCTTTTTCAATCTACGAATACCCAAAGCAAACAGGTCAACAGCGCGCCTTCATAAGATGTTATATTGGCCATTCTCGTTCATATAAACATCTTAGATACCCATTAGCAAAGCAATCAGGAAAGTCAAGTGGAATTCAATACGGTAATTTGCATTAAAAGAAAACAAAATATATATAACAGGTTCAATTTTTGAGATTGTTCGATATCATTATTACATAGTTTGATATTTACCTCCATGGTCGCTTAGTAGCTTGATGCCATTTAGCGATAATGAATATCTATACGAATATTATAAAGTTGAAGAGTTTGTATGTTTGAACGGTCTAATATCAGGAACTATTGGTTCGAAATGAAAAAATATTTTGTAGTGGAGAGGACATTAATCGAGGGAAACTTTGCATGCATGATGGTATGTATGCATCTTCATATACACCATCAAACACAGACCAGTAGGAGCGAGAAACTTTAGAAAATGTTTCTTCAAAAAGCATGTGTCGGGCCGTATATACCGTACTAGACGGTTAAACGTTGTTTGCTTGATCAATGGTACCTTTAGTAGGAAGCCTTCGTGCAAAATTTCCGATTCGCACTTTTCATAAATTTACGAAACATAATAAAGGTTGAAATGCTAAAATAACACATTGCTTTGTTAGTTACCTGATCACATATGTTTCAAGCAATGTTTATGAGATTAAATAAAAAGTGAAATCCCGGACACAGAAATGTTTCCTCAGGTAAGTAGTTGATCAGACTTCTGTGCCCTGCCCACGGACTTCGGGCAAAACTAGTATAATTTTTCGGCCAAACAGGGCAAAGACGTCTATTCTAAATGAAAGCACAAAATGTATTAAATAGCAGGTTGTAATAAAAAATTCATTCTTTGAATTCTAATTAACAAATCTATTCATTCAATTTGCGCTCAAAGCGATTGTTAAAAAAATATTGACAGTGTTTGATAGCAGAGTAATATCTAGTTCGATCAAAGCTTTGAGCCATTTATGAATAGCTTTTATAAAAGTTTGCTTTTTGTCCGCACTGTGCCTTGTTTATTAGCGGGCTTTTGTGCACAATCAAATATTTTGATTGTAAATAAAAGCTTTTACCAACAATCAAAATACTAATTAGACGAGAATCAAACTCGAACCTTAGATTCTGTGTTTACCTAAATAAATAGACAGATTACAAATTTAAATAACCGTTAAGTAACCATATAATAAGTATTTAGTTTTTTCCTCTATTGCACGAGAAAGTTTTTTTTATTAAAAAACAATTTACAATACGAATTTGAACCCGTACCCTCACGTACACAGAACCACCCTGTACGGACTTGTATCTGTGATGTTCAAGTCTTCGGTTCAAACCCATCGTATTAAATATTTGTTACAATACTTCATATATTTTTAATGTAAACAGGGTCTTCTAAGTCCTGAGTCCTACTGCTTTATTTTATCTAATGACCCAGCAATGGGAAATTCTGAGACCTGATTTCATATTAAGATGAAGTTGGTATCATTTTATAATTCGCGTATGTTCAGTAAAACAATACTGAAAAGTTCTCGAGCGAACATTTTCGTTTTATTGCCAAAGTATAAAATGGTTTAAAGTGAAAATGCGAGAATAAAGCTAAAGCTCTGCTATTTGTCGAGTTTTTAATTTGGAAGCTGTTGTTGATACACTGTTTGAAAATTTTATATATCTACGCCGGGGAAATGCGAGTATTGAAAAATTATGAAAGACCCTGGTGTTACTATTATTATTCTTTTCTATCGGGGACACCCTTGGCAGGACGGGTATCAGTCCAGTTGTCCGCCGACCATTTCACCCATTTCCTCCTCCTTTCAGAGATTTGGGTCATCCACTCTTCCGTTCCCCTTCAAACCTTCCGTTTGCTTGCAGAATCTTATTTTTTCCATCTGTACCATCCATTCCATAGGTTTTCCAAGACCCTGGTGTTACTCTTTGTATCTTTTTTAGAGGTCTCATTACTATTTTCTAAGATATATGTATGCATGCGACGAGTTTGAGGTGTTATATATATATTTTAATATGCTAGGAGCTAATACTTAGCATATTATAAAAATGGCCATAAAATAATTAAAATTGTAATACTTTCAATT